CCCTCCTCCCCTCCTCCCCCTCCCCTGAACTGCCCTGGGGATCTCTGCTCTCCTCCATCCTCCTGCCCCCTCTCAAGTCCCTCTCCCTCGCTTCTCCTCCCCTGCTCCTGGGTCCCCCTTCCCGTGTGCCACCATGACAGTGATGGCTGGAGAGAACATGGATGAGACTTCTGCACTACCTGGCCACCCCCAGGATAGCTACCAGCCCGCTGCCCACGATGACCATGAGTGCTGTGAGCGCGTAGTGATAAACATTGCTGGACTACGCTTTGAGACACAGCTGAAGACCTTAGCCCAGTTCCCCAACACTCTGCTGGGGAACCCCAAGAAGCGCATGCGGTACTTTGACCCCTTGCGCAACGAGTACTTCTTTGACCGGAATCGGCCCAGCTTTGATGCCATCCTCTACTACTATCAGTCTGGGGGGCGGCTTCGCCGGCCGGTCAATGTGCCCTTGGACATGTTCTCTGAGGAGATCAAATTTTATGAGTTGGGTGAGGAGGCCATGGAGAAGTTCCGGGAAGATGAAGGATTCATCAAAGATGAGGAGAGACCCTTGCCGGAGGGGGAGTACCAGCGCCAAGTATGGCTCCTCTTTGAATACCCAGAGAGCTCTGGGCCTGCAAGGGTCATTGCAATAGTCTCCGTCATGGTGATCCTCATCTCCATCGTGATCTTCTGCCTAGAGACATTACCCGAGCTGAAGGAGGACAAGGAGTACACAGTGCATCGCACTGACAACACCACCCAGGTCTACAAATCCAACATCTTCACAGATCCCTTCTTTGTTGTGGAGACCCTGTGCATCATCTGGTTCTCCTTTGAGCTGGTGGTGCGCTTCTTTGCTTGCCCCAGCAAGACTGAATTCTTCAAGAACATCATGAACTTCATTGACATTGTGGCCATCATCCCTTACTTCATCACCCTGGGCACCGAGATGGCCGAGCGGGAGGGGACTCAGAAAGGAGAGCAGGCCACCTCCTTGGCCATCCTGAGAGTCATCAGACTGGTAAGAGTCTTTCGAATCTTCAAACTCTCCCGGCACTCTAAGGGCCTCCAGATTTTGGGACAGACCCTCAAAGCAAGTATGAGAGAGCTAGGTTTACTAATCTTCTTCCTCTTCATTGGGGTGATCTTGTTCTCTAGTGCGGTATATTTTGCTGAGGCTGAAGAACCTGAGTCTCATTTCACAAGTATCCCTGATGCTTTCTGGTGGGCGGTGGTATCCATGACCACTGTGGGCTATGGTGACATGTACCCTGTGACAATTGGAGGCAAAATCGTAGGCTCCTTGTGTGCCATCGCTGGTGTGCTGACAATTGCCCTGCCTGTACCTGTCATCGTGTCCAACTTCAACTACTTCTACCACCGAGAAACAGAAGGGGAAGAACAGGCTCAGTTACTTCACGTTAGCTCCCCTAATTTAGCATCTGACAGTGATCTCAGTCGCCGCAGCTCCTCCACAATCAGCAAATCTGAGTACATGGAAATCGAAGAGGATATGAATAATAGCATAGACAATTTTAGAGAGGCTAATCTCAGAACTGGCAACTGCACTGTAGCCAACCAAAACTGCGTTAATAAAAGCAAGCTGCTGACTGATGTGTAAACAAAAAAACCAAAATCCCCACTCACAGCTTGAAGACTTTAGTGACACAGTCACACTTTGTAGATGCTTTACTGATAGTCTTTGAATGCTTTATTTACCTCGTAAATGCATTGTTGCATTGCGAATTTTTGCTCAGCGATAAAGAAGCTTCCAGGATCCATGAAAGATAAGATTTTGTTTATTTTTAACAAGCATTTTCCACCTGGTAAATGATAACCATTTGAACTAGTTTAGTTTTAAGCTGTGACGCTAGACCTAAACTTTTCCTCTCCCATCTCCCTTTATTTTTTGGATGGTTAACTTAAAACTAAGCAAGACAGTTTTAAGAGCTATAAAGCATATGCATGGATTCCAGTAAAAATATTCTGCAAAACTGCACAGTTGCAAGAAAGAAAGTGCATCAGATAATAATAAAAAAAAAAAAAAAAAAAAAAAAGATTAGCAAAAACCTGCAGCAAGCATTTGCCGTGGTTTTTATGGAGCGCCAATTTTCCTTCCACCCCCTATGTGAAAGATTACATACTTCCAATCTACAGATCCACACAGCACCTTATTAAAAACATACTTAAGCCTGGTCTCTTTTGCTGTCCATAGAAGAACTATTGTAAAAGGAAAATAACAAACAAAACTGAAGACAAAACATCTGCAATGCTGCTAAATTCTCTTACATGCAGATGATTTAAACACACTTTTCCTTTTCCCTGTCCAGAACTGGATACAAAACTTTAAGCCCCTCTGTTGCAAGATAGCACAATGGAGTTTAATATAAGCATGTTTGAATTTGATACTATTTATTTTATAATCGCATGCCTGAAACGTTACCTCAGACAATAGCGGATAAGCTTTCGTTTGAACTGAATCTTCTAAAAATAGGTCCTTTATCTTTCTTTTTTCTTTTTTTTTTTTTTTTTTTTTTTTTTTTTTTTTTTTTTTTGATTTGCATTCACCAGAAGTGCACTCCTTAATTTATTAAATCGTTGACTAGTAATTTAAAGTACTGTATTTAAGTGCGTATGTTAGTCAAATGGGAACAATAACTTTTGGAGATCAAAGCATGTTCAAATATTCAGCATTATGGCCTATTTGATTAAGGTGTAACTTGAATTAATTAATGCATGAATTCAATAATAATAATAATAATAATGATAATGATAATAACAATAAAAACAAAATTTAAAAAAAGTGCTTGATAGACCAAGGGCCTGAACGAACTGATTAGAGAAACCTGGTTGTTTTCCTGCATTGCTCAGGGAAATGCGTTGGCTTTTGTCCAGGTGTTGTGGGAAAGGAACATATCCCATCCCTTAAAGGGGAAGCTATATGGAAAATTAAGAAGTCGAGTTATATATAGCAACACCTAAAACCTAGTATCCTTTATAGTTGAAAGGTGCAGATGCATGCTTTTTGGTGCATTCTCAGAATGTAAATGAAACTTATCTATTATATGCATCCAAATTGCAGCAGCTGGTTTCTTTTGCAGTCATTAGTTGATTCCCCTAAAACTCACCGAAGAGACTCAACAGATTGATTTAGATAGTTGCGCAGTGCCTTTATCTTACATCCCCTAAATTGCTGAAAGTGCCTCCAGGAACTGAGCTGATCAGACAGCGAAGGAAAGGGCAAGGCACCAACACACTGTCAGGAGAGTTCTGTGCTGCCTCTGGGCACAGCACAGGAGTGGGTAGAGAAAGAAAGAAAAAGAAAGAAAGAAAAAGGGCAAGTGTGAGTGAGAGGGATGCAGAAGAGGCGGGCAGAGACCACCAGCGCCCATGGGATACCTTCCTTCCCCAGCCAGTCCGATGCTGCAGGGCTCAGCATTTGCTTCTGCCAAATATCTCATGGTTGTGTTTATGCAAGACTTCGAGTTTCCCTAAGTTGTTTATAGAGGCATCGCTGCCATCGTATCTGCCCACCCTTTCCCTGTGAGATGGCTTTTTGGCAGCCTGTTCCAGCACGGCAGGACGCAGGAGGAACTGGGGACCAGTATGAACTGTGGCATCGCCCTGTCAGGCAACCAGGCTGCAGGGCTGTGCTTTTCTTTCCCTTGGATTCCCCAGCGAGTAGGTAGGAGAGGATTTCCAGTGCCCTCCCACCCCTGCCTCCCCCATCCCCTTTTGGCAGTCTGTCAGATCTTAAATCCTATCACAGATCCTTTGAGCCATATTTTTCTTTCTAGCCCCTAACCTTACACTACTTCCACCATCATCTGGTGAGGGAAGCAACACTAGGAGAAGGTATCTTCTGCAATATGCCAGCCTTGACTGCTAGGCCCCGGAAGATAATAACCTTTGATGTGAACTAATGTAGGCACTAATCTTTATTTTTTAAATGGACAAAGTTGAGGATCTTCATTCTGCACTTAGCATGTGGCCAACTGCTGTTGAACACTTCTCCTTCCACAATGTACAGATCCTTTCTTCCCCTATCTTTCTGATATGTGTATATATGTGTATAAATATATATATATTTGTGTCTGCACATATGTGTGTCACACACCTATGCAGACACATGTATATATAAAATCAAGGCACTTAGAGTTAAAAAAAACCAACCCTAACTCTGCAGTTACGCACAAGCCTGACCTGCCAGGTTTCTAGAAAGACTTGACTTTTATTTCTCACTGTGTGGCTTCTGTGAATCTTAACGATGAGAAAACGATCCAGAACTGAGGGAGCTCTAACTCCTGCAAGAAATGCAAAGTATCCGATAAAACAGGGCATTACATCCTCTAGGTAGATATCGTAAAGCTTCCTTCCTGTCCCCTGCTCATGCCCCTGTCCATCATACACCTCTCTCCCCATTAAATTCTGGTGGTCCTGATCTTCCCAAACTCTTGAATCCAAGAGTGTGACTTCTTATGTCAAAATAGACTTGAATGCTGCACTCAGCTTATAAAACCACCAACTGACTAAACTAAACAGCAATAATCAATTCAGTGCTGTGGGACTGATGATCGGAAAGTAGCATCTAGATGAGGCCTCACTTCAGTAACTTCTGCCACAGCTGGGTGTGCACACCTTAGTTTAATGAGCAGAATGATAATCATTCTGCATGTGTAAAGAGAAAAGTGCTGCATGCAGCGATTCTTCTTTGTCAGGAGACTGGGATGGATCGTTAGGACTTGGGGTGGTTTGGGGAGCCTGAATATTGTTTTGTCCATTTATAGCTCACTGCAAAGGATCTCAATACATATGGAGGACAGGAATTAACCTCATCTAGCATAGGCATGTGATTTCGACAAGTTTGACATGCAAAAAATTAACCACAAAAGAGAAAGCTCTTACTCCCTTTACACAGGAGTGCTGAAATGTCTTTGTGGGCCTGAAGGTGCACTTAACAAACTGCCTGTTCTTACCAGTAAGCATCCTTTTCTTTCTTTCTTCCTTTCCTCTCTCTTTTTTTTTTTTTTTTTTTTTCTTTCTCCCCCTCTTGGCATACGTTTCTTTTTGCCACACATGAGCTCTATGAGGTTGTTTATGTCAGTGGAAGAGGACTGGAGATGAGCTGATGGCCAACTTAGTGCATCTCTGAAAGTCAAGAGACCTTCACTCATTTGGTAGGGACCTCCCAGAAGCGATGCCCATGTTATGCTGGACAGAGAAACCAGTAGATACGGTGATCTTAGTTGGGCTGTAGTTTGATGAAGAAGGCAGCTATTCCAGCATAGGGAGTCACTACCCAAGCCTCCTTTACCAGCCACTGCTCTATGCCTCTGTGTCCTTCTTAGTTGCCCCCATACAGCTTTTTCTTCACCCACTCAGTGAAGGGAATGAGGGATCTTACCTGGTTTGAGCAAGGCAGCAGTGCACTGCAGTGCAGAGGCAGGAATGAAGTGGAGAGGCAGTGGGCAGGAATCCCATAGGCTGGTATCGCTGCCAAAATTCCCCATCTGGTCCTACCGTACTTAGCTGTAGAACACTAGTGAACAGGCAGAGGAGCAAGGGGGAGAGTGAAAATGGAAGGCTCTGTACTCCCTTCCTTCGCAGAACTGAGAAGTTGCCGCCACACTGCCAAGAGCTCCAATCCTCTGTGTGGCAACTCCAGCAGAGGCAATGAACTGGATTTACTTGTCTTCACGAGGAAGTTAGCATGCAGTAAGCCAGGGTGTGAGTTCACAGCATCCTAGAAAAACCCATGCAGATTCCCTGCATGGAGCCTCTTAAGCCTTATCTCCATTGGGGAAATCAGGAAAGCTAATCCGAATTAATGAAAGGTGTGCATTTAAAGTAGATTTGTTAAACTGCATTGAAGCCCAGCATGGACATTCTGTTGCAGTATAAAAGCAACCTTAATCTGATTTGGAGACTTTTTTTTTTTTTTTGAAGGAAAGTAAGCTGAATTGAATTAAGGCTGCTTTAATTCTGAACACAATGGGGCTTAATGCAGTCTACCTCATCTGCCTCACAAGTTCATTCAGATGGATAAGCCTTTAGTAATCATTAAATGTAATGGAACCGACACTACTTTGCAGGGGGTGGCTGGGCAGAGCGTGGCCGTGTGCTGCAAAACTCTCAGAATGTGAGTGCTGGAAATTCACAGCCTGGCTTACTGAGGGCTAACATGTTGATCCTGGCAACAATTCTAGTGATTTCCTTCCTTTGTTCCTGGTTTACACATTTGCAGGTGTGAGGAGAATCAATCTTGCTGCCTTCTGGGAAGTTGGCAATGATCATGGCCTAAGGAAATTAATTTCCACTTACAAAGTCTCTAACTGTGCACGTGCTTAACCTGGTGTACTGGTGATCACGTGGACAAGCACTTGAAAGACAGTACGAAGCACTTGAGACAGGACAAAAATTCAGCAAAAGTCCTTGTTTTCAGCAGTGATTTTGCCCAACTAGAGACTTCAGGGATCAGACCCTTCTTAGCAAATCAGCTGTGTATCATTTATTAGAAGCTGAAGTGGCCCAAATCAACAGTTGGAGCAGTGTCAACTTTTACTGGCAGATTTTTTACTAAGGGACAATTGTTTACATTAGTCAGAAGTACAGAAAGTTTGTTTCTCTTATGAGAGAGCCTAAGCCCAAGTGTAACATAAAAACCTGCTTATTTTTAAGTGTAAGGAACTGAGGGCAAGTTTCACTTTTCCATAGTTCACACTCGGACGGTGCAGTTTCCTACATGCACATGTAGTAACTGAAATAAAATGAGCACTAGGACAGGAACATCTGTGTTTTGTTAGAAAAAGGTGGAAAGTTGTATTCCAGAGTAAGATCTTCTGCATACATATGTAACATATGGAGAGAATATATTCCCTTCCAGATATTAGCAGGATAACTGTTTTTAGAGGGGTGCCATTCTGGATTAATTAATTTCCCCTAATGTGAAGAAGAAGGAAGTGCCGCAGCTTTTCCAGGAACGGTCTGATCCTGTAGGTTTTCAGCAGCCTGATGCCACTGATCGTCACCGTAATGTCAGACTCGCAGGAATGCAGAACCAGCTCCAAAGTGTGATTTACCCTCCCCAGCCACAGAGCTGGACGGAACTGGAAAGCTGTCCTTGCAATGGGACAACATGGCAAGTTTGTTCCAGACCTGCCTATCGCAAGTCTGAAACAGGCTCCTTTGCCGAGATGCTTTAACCAGAGCCCTACATTTCAATTTTGGTTGGACTTATTTCAGGCTGAGTTTCTTTTTCTGTTTTCTGTTGTTCGAGCTTTACTTAATCAGGTGTAGAGAATTTATTTTTCCTGAAACGCTTATCAAGTATTCTTAAAGGTGTCAGTATTTGTATCTGCAAAAATGAAACTTCAGGGTGTTCTACTGTTTCACTCAGAACAGGTGAACTTGCCACCGGTGAGGTCAACAATTTATGCTGTCAAGGCATAGCATGCTTTGATATTTTCAAAGGAAATAAAATGAAACTGAGGTCTTAACTGAAATTTGTCTCAAAGTATCTGTTAATATCTATGTAACTCTGTATATTTCACCCGTTCACAGGCTCTAGCAAATGTCACTACAAGTTATATAAAAAACAAAAAAAAATCATCTTCCATTTCTAGTTTCTATAATAAAATGAAGACGTTGCATTCAGTTCCTTTAGGTGCATCAGTCTTTGATCCATGTTATTGTTTCAGTGACATTTCTATAATGTAATTGGGATCAAATGTATATTTTACTTTTGTACAAAAGTAAAAATGATATTTTTATGACTAAATTCAGCAAACCCTTACCTATAACGTGCTAAGATGAAATATTTTTTTTTCCTTTCCTTTACATGTAAACCATTGTTTTTGCAGTATGTCAGTTTGAAATGAATAAATAACAGCTGTCACTAGAACTGTATGCGACCTCTCAGACATACCTCTGATTTTGAAGATCAGATATTACTGATGTGAAATATATAAACTGAATAGTCTCCATATGAAAGTGCACCATCAGGGCAACAAACCATTTAAGCTGACACAGCTGTACTTATTTCCACCATTTACAAATCGCTTACACTTTGGGTCAAGTATGTACTTCATTGTCACATTACAGCTCATTTTACTTCCAGTAGTGAAATCGGTTGACTTTTACCATTTTTAGAACATCTAATGTTATGAGTTCATGAACTATTTGAAATGCATAGTTTTCATCTATGCAATTTTACCTGCTTCTGTACTTGTTCATCTGTTCATACTTGGCATCAATTAAAGATAATTTTTAAGGATCTTACCCAGGATTATTCTGTCTGGTTATTTTCTGGAGTCTGGTTTCTCTGCTGTCACTACCGGCCAGTTCTATCTGAAATGAATGGTTGCTTCATTGATGGTTTTCTTATTGAATGGTATAATAAATGGCAATGTAGTGAGTGGGAAATGTGACTGTGGGCTTTGAGAGGCTTGTAAATGTCAACTCGAGCTTTACAGTACAATTAATCCAAGGGTTTAGCTTCCGTAGGCTTTGGATCTAGCCTTGAGCGAGTAATGTTCTGGGGCCAAACTCTGCTGCCTTCACTGCTGAGACGGCACTCTGTTCCACCAAAACCAGTGGTAATAAAAGTAAGCCTACTGATTGTGTTCTCCAAAGGCTTGTGGGTGTCAATTAGCATGTGATGCCTACGTTCCTGAATCCCAACCACTGCCTCTAGTGTTAACATATAAGTGCTGACTTGAAATCAGGTTTCGAAGAACTCTGACTGATGATGGGTTTTGGTTTGGGTTGAACGTAAGCAAGTCAAACTGACTTGGTCTTGTTTTCTGTTGAAAATGGTTTGTTTTTTCACGGTGTGTTTCATGCCGCCTGGTCTTATACAGTCATGCTTGACACGTCTCAGTATTGTGTTATATATAAAGAAAGCAATGACAGAAATTCTAATTGTTTTACGTCAAAGGTATTGTGTGTTAGAAGTCCATCTATAAAGACTGCCAGATCTTTCTGTAGAGAGGTGCAGTTTGTAACGGTGAGATGCATACATGGTAGTGCTGATTACATATGGTGAAATGAAGTGAAAATACCCTAACCTTATACGAGGCAGAACATTTTGTGTGGCCTGTTATGTGATTTAATTTACTTATTTGTTTTGCTTTCTTGGTCAAGAAAAGCTTTCGTCAATGAAATACTCGTTCGTCAATAGCTTCAAGTATATTTAGTCAGTCTTATTGAATCTCACTTACAAATCGACAAAAAATTGTTTCGTTGACCTGACAGTAAGGATTTGTAGTTATAAGTCTTAAATGGGTCTAGTCCAAGTCATTTGCTGTTAGCTGCTCTGTGGTGCTGTTCTTAAATCAATGAGGTACTCATGTCCATGCCTGGCTTCAAGAGTGTCATCATTGAGTTTTGTTGGTTTTATTTTTGGCCCTGGGTGTGTCTAAAGTCTCATCACCTCTTTTTTCTTTTCTGTGTAAAAAAAATGAAATGCTTGTTTATCACCTCTACAGTATCAATCTTCTCCCTTTTGTCCTTAGCAAAACTCTTGTTGCATTGTTTGGATCAAATTGTAATGTTGCTGCGTAACCTGTTTTCCTGAATCGACAATTCACTTGCCATATAACCCGCTCCTATATCCCTCTGCTAGCTTCCTCCCTTCTTGGGCACACTTCATCTTGTGAAATACTACCCCCAGATCCGCCGCTGCTGAGGTCCTTCATGGTCTGTCTCATCATACCTGTCATGGAGCTAGCTCAAAAACCTGCTTTCTCTTAGGACTGGGAATGCCAATTCCTATATCACAAACATACATTTTTTTGAAGGAAAACCTTGCCTGTTTCTCTCTGTGTTGCCTCCTCTGCGTGGAAAACGCTCCTGCTAGGTCCCTTTGGCCATGCTGATGACAAGATAATATCTCATACTTTATGATTCTTCATCTTTCCCACAGCCTGTGCAGTCACTGTACTCCTTGGTATATCCTGTACTGAGATACTTGCTGTGAGGTGATTAATTTGCTAAGTGGAGGTTTTCAAGCAAAACTATGTGCATTCAGGACTAGGTCCTAGGACATGTTTTTTTTTTTCCCCTCTAAAATGACTCAATTAAAAATACAAAATCAACATTGCGTACTGGGTTAGTTGAGTCTCTGGGTTAATTTCTTACTTAATCTCAAAAGTAAATAGATGTGTGGGTTTTATTCCCCCAAAATGCAAATCCTCCTATCTTGTCTTTTATGCTTCATCAATTGCAAAAAAAAAATTGTGTATTGAGTTCCTCTTTTGGTTACCCCAAGCCACCTCCTTACCTTGTAGGTTTTCTCTGAAGCAACCTACACTGAGGAAAAAAAAATGTGGCTGTGCAATATGTAAATTAGATAACAGACATGTTGATGATAAGGAATAAGCTCCTCTTTCTTCTTCAGCTGCACTGACGCTCAGGTTATAAGGGAAGCAGAGACTAATTCAGCACTTGTGACACAGAGAGGGAGAGAGAGTCCCTTCATAACAAGGTGCTCTTTTTATCTGTTACCTTCTTTATATAACATTGATAATTTCAACACTAATTTGATTTATCTAACACGCCTGTAAGTTACTCGGCTTACATGTACTGTTTGATTAGTGGATACAAAATAGTTGCTTTATGGAAACATATGAACTTCAGGTGTGAGTATGTGCTCCCTTGCCATGCAGAAACCAGGCATTTATACTTCAACGAATAACAATCCTAATACTCCACAGCATAAAATGACTCTTACCGCTGAAAGCAAAAATAAACTTTTCTCACAGGTGTGCTCTTACCCAGCTGGAGCAGCTGCCTTCAAGGCTAGCAGTCTAAGTCAGATGGCCTGACTGCCAAGGAAAGTCAGACTGTCTGAGTCAGTGCTAACTGAGAGCAGCTGCTATGTACTGCTGCAGCCAACCTCTGCAAATAGGTACGGATATGTGCTCTTGAAGTAAACCAGAGCCCACAGAAATAAATAGGATTGTATCTCTTCACTTCAGAAGACTGTAGAAAGACCGTAATTTCACGGTCCCTTTCAGGCTGCTAAGAAAAGAAGATGAGAGATGTTCTGTACTCAAGGCTTCTAACAGGTACTTTTAGAGTTGCATTATATCCCATGGTTGGTCTTTCTATAAAAACGCTCACTTTATAGAGTGTTGAGATTAAGCGTTCGAAAAAATCAAAGAAGCTTTAATTAGCACAACAATACTTCAATCCGCTCAGCTTCTCTAACAGCTTCCTAAAATACCTCACATTTTATTCCAGTGAGAAGACAATTATGACTCTTGAATAGAAAGCTTTTACAGTTAGAAGATGAAAATGTAATTGTAGGTGGTATATTTGGTGACCTCCTCTCACTAGGTAGGAACAGCAGCACATTTGGCTTTTGAGCAGGGGAGCCTGCAGGTGTCATTAAGTGTGACAGAGAGCTGCATAAAAAAGGCTGGATGACCCTTAAAAGGAGGACAGGTCGAGGACAAATGTCTTTCATGGGTCACCATTTTCATCCTGCCCAGTTAACAGCAGAGCGTGAGGAATGGGAGGTTCGCCTGTGTTCAGTGTACGTAAGAAGCCTGCTGTATGACACCAGATGTAGTGTGAAGTGGGGGTTAGTGTCCCACGAGTTACCTAGCCTGATGCCATTGATACAGCCTACACTCGCTTAAAAAGATTTAGTTAAACATCTTTGATTTGTAAAAATAATAGGAGGGTGAATGCCTGAGGGCTTGACAATCCGAATGTACCTGCTATAGTGGGCATATGTGGGGCGTTTCCTTTGTCATTTCAACTCCTGTGAGAAATATATTTTTCATCTTGATGCGTACAGATGGGTTCACTGGGGAAAGAAGTGGCTAATCCCGCACTTGCCCTCTCTGGTGGTGCGCACGTCCACATTCATGGAGTCATATTCTACTTTTGTCATAGCTCAGTTACTTTTGGTAGAGTTGCTTCTTTTTGACAAGAAATACATTGGGCCTGAATCAGGCCCATAGCTTAGTCTAACACTAAACTTTATTAAGAATAATTCTGTGGTGAGCAAAACAGCAAAAAACAGCCATCCAAAAAGCTAGCTCTCCAGTCAAGCCATGGAAGGATTCTGCAGCTGTTTTTTCATTAATACTGAGAATGCAATATAGACTTGAACTATTTTTTCAGGTTGGGGAAAAAAAAAAAAATTATTGAATTTTTAGCTCATTGCTGCTTGACCATTCTGAACACAAATCTGCACGTAAAATTCTGTGCAAAATTCTGAATGATCTTCTAGACTCTTATGGGATTTAGTTCCCTACATGTTCTGGATTGATGGGGAGAGCTGAGATTGCCAACAGGGTCCTGCTTCCACGTGGAATCACTCAGGCAATGGTAGGTGTTTAGGTGTATCGTTGCCTTCTTCTGGTGACTTTGAGCCTTCCCTTCTGTTTTCAGTGTGCGGTATTCATCTTCAGCCCAAAAAAGCCAATTCCAGTTTACAAGGGAGGTAACTTTCCTTTGGTTCCTTTTCTAGTTAGCCAAATGTTGTTACAAACCTGGTTTGATGAACTTTGACTGTTGCCATGGCTTTTGATGCAAATAAATCACTGGCAAATGTTCCTGAAATATGTTAATTTCTGACTACCCTGATATATGCAGCTTCAATTAATGTCCTTAAGTTTCGTTGTTTCAATTGCAAACTGTTTTTCTTCAGGAATTTGAAAAGATATAAGGGGAAACTAATGTTTCCCAAAATGCACTGGAACAGCTTCCTCTCAAAGAGGGGGAAGTTTTTTTTTTTTTTTTTTTTTTTTTTTTTCTTGAATTGAGTTATCTCGGCATTACTTATTTGGAAAAGAATAAAAAAAATAAAAAGGGATCTCTGTTACTTGGGGTACATGCCTTTGTTATGATTATTTAGATGATAAAAATGTCTGGCGTTCCAAGAGAAGAGCATTTACTGCTAATGGGGCTTTAATGTAAACTCTTGTGATAATTATCCTTAAGAGGGTAAGATATGAATACTGCAGGAATAGCCACCGGGTATGTACAGTAACAGTGTGGTACTTAGAGGGCAGTATCTCTGCAGCGTGGTGGTGGTGCAGTTCTGGAGTAACAGCCACAACTGGGCATTGGAGTGTAGTAATGCAACTGGATCTGAGTGTTGGCCACTGAGCTGAGAGCCTGGTTAAGACCCCAAGGTCACCCCTGGTCATTGCTTCAGTGAGGCAATGGTTCAACAAAAGAATGAATTAACTTCAAGGCTCCAAATACCAAATGAGAAATCTTTTTGTGAGAAAAACACTGATCTGATATA